TCTCTCTGCACTCTTGCACAGCCCTCAGCAGCAGTACCCCGAGTGCCCTCAGCAGGCCAGAGAACTCGTCCTACGCTATCGAACAGACTCACACACATGCACAGACATCGACGGTCTTCCTACCCATATAGTCAGTGGGCACCAGAGTCAGTGGGCTTCTGTTCTACTTGGTTCTCGCAATCCTTCGCAAGACAGCTGCCATACAGCACAGCACACATACACGTTCCCCGTACCAGCAGACTACAAGTATATATGAGTGAGGTGCAGCTGCTACTGCTAAAACGAGGGAACTGCTCGCCGAATCACTTGCGTCTGGCAGTGGATCAGTTAATCTTGCACTGCTGCTGGGATTTGAAGTTGCCATTGCAAGCTGCAGTCAGTTCTGTCGGCCAGTGTCTCTAGTGCACCTGAAGTGTGGTGTGCAAATTAGCAGCACCAGACAGCAACTTGTGTTTACTATCCGCTCATTACCTTCAACTAGTCACCCCCGAACACCTCAGCAGTGGTCGTCTGTGTTTGAGTGTGCTTGTGTGAGCTTGCGAGTGCCAGTGACCAGCATCGAGAGTACCGAGCATCGAAGCGAAGATGGATGCTAACAGAGCCAGGGTAAGTGCGCCTGCTAACCTGCTGACGTTGCTCTCTTTCTGCTCAGCTCAATGTCACTCACTGTCATACTCTCATTCACTCACTCAATCACCTGTCCTCTATTTTCGTTGTTTTCCAGACGGCCAACAACCAGGACCAGAAGTGGCAGAAGGATGCGGTCGACCAGAACTTTGACTACATGTTCAAGATTCTCATCATCGGGAACAGCAGTGTTGGCAAGACGTCATTTCTCTTTCGGTACGCTGACGACTCCTTCACGTCTGCGTTCGTCAGCACAGTTGGCATTGACTTTAAAGTGAAGACCGTCTTCCGACAGGACAAACGAGTGAAGCTGCAAATTTGGGCAAGTCCAAGGTTAATGCTTTCTTAAACTGTGCCGCAACTACTTTTTCTTGCCCACAGGACACGGCTGGCCAAGAACGCTATCGAACGATTACCACTGCCTACTATCGTGGTGCAATGGGCTTCATTCTCATGTACGATGTTACCAATGAGGAGTCATTTAACAGCGTCCAGGACTGGTGAGTTTTTAGCAGCTTCACACCAGTTTACTTACATTTGCATTCTTTTTTAGGGTAACCCAGATCAAGACGTACTCCTGGGACAACGCTCAGGTCATTCTGGTGGGGAACAAATGTGACATGGAGGAGGAACGAGTGGTGTCCTACGAACGAGGCAAACAGCTGGCAGACCAGCTGGGACTTGAGTTCTTCGAGACCTCCGCCAAGGAGAACATCAACGTGAAGGCCGTCTTTGAACGCTTAGTGGACATTATCTGCGACAAAATGTCCGAGAGCCTTGACTCTGATCCGACGATGGTGAACGCGTCCAAGGGCACTCGATTGACCGACAACCCTGCTCCAGGGCAGAACAGCAGCAGTTGCCAGTGCTAGGTGGACCAGTGGTGCGCTCATGAAACACACCCACAGGGCAGGTAACTGGTGGCAGGCAAGAAAAGAGGATCTCCCCTTCTTCTTTCCTGCCCTCATCGACAGCACCGCCAACTGTTTCGTACAACTCACCTCTGTAAGCATCTTCCATCGACCCCCACCATTCCATTCACTTGTCCATTTGACCATTTGCCACCACTACCACCAGCAGCAGCAGCAAGAGCATCAACCCCAGCACACATCATTCCTTGCCATTCACCTCGTCCCCTCTTCACGTCGGAGTGAGCAGAGATGCAGGCTGAACTGAGCACAACCTCATGTACCCACTAGAATAGTCGGAAGGAGGTAGTCAGTGGTCAGTGGTCTGACAGTGGTCAGTGTTCGACAGTGCCACACACACAACAGACACTGCCCAACAGCCACTTGCACCAGAGAGGACTGCACCAGAGCTGCCAGTGATGCTGCTGCAGAGTGTCGCAGACGTTTTGATAGGCACTTTTGAGCGGCATTCGAGGCACTGCACACACATACCCACACGTACACACCGACAGACACGTACACCAGCTCCAGCAGTTAACACCGAAATTGACACTTACACTCTCACACTCTCACACTCTCACTCAGCACGCACCCAGCAGCAGTGACAGTACTTGGCAGGCGTACTCACTTCCGTACGTGGGCGTCGCCGGATCGCCGCTTGCAGCATTTAGATCAAATCAAGATTGCCACGCGCTCTCTCACCCAAATCGTTTCATTCCGTATCCCGTTCACCGTTGGGCGCAACCCTGCGACCCCCTGCAAACCACTCTTCTTTTCCTTCCCGTTTTCTTCAACCGCTACTTCTGCCCACCTTCTCTAGGCGTCAACACACCCTGGCCACCGGCACCAGCTTGCGACCTACCCTCTTGCTTCCCCGGTGGAACCCAGCCCCCACGCTGTGTTGGCACGCTGTGTCCCTCCCTCTCAGGGGCTCTCTCTCTCACACACACCACACACATTTTCCAAGCATTTCAAGCAAATCTTATTTTCTGTACTTACTATTCCATATACAGCAAAATCTGTTTATTATTTGCTTTCATTCGGCATTGCAATGTTAATACTGTATCGTTGTCAACTATAACATTATCAATTCTAATTACTTTTCCAATTTTGTTGTTATCATTAACAAATTAATAATATATTTGATAAAGCTCCATTCTTTGGATTGCGGTTTAGTGGTGAAGCGTCAGCACTGGCAACCAGGAATTGATTGCAACCCGAAGCAGCAGCAGTTGTGATCAAAATGGCGTTTATTACTAATACTTTGTAAACGATGAGGGGATTTGTACAGAAAGTGGAATCAAAAATACAATGAGTGATAAGCACATTATTCTAAGTAGATGTGAGCCAGGGATTCGATCGAATCGCATTGGGATCTCTTTCTCCGTAATCGTAAAGCACCTCTTCGTCGACGTCAATGTCACGTAAGGCAATGAAAATTAAATGAGGCGTTTTGTTGTGTTCATATACTTTGGTTTTGCAGTTGGGTGCCTTTCGGCTATGGTTTATCAGTCGTCCAAGGCGACCGGAAGGCTTTGTAGCATCAACGCACCACACAACTGAATTCCAGGTGAAGTAGTACATGTAGCAGCCTTCTCCGCTTGCTTCGTATTCTCGTTCGCGTTTCTGTAACAATGATACAGAAAGTGTATTAGTAAAGTATATGATTTAAAGCAACATTTGTTTGTCTTACCTCTGCATCCTCCAACTTGATTAAATCACCACTGTACTCGCAAATGAAAGAATCCTTCTTTATGGGCACCCTCGCCACGATGCCTTTGCCTTTGCTTTCAAACTCAGTGACCATCAGATTGTCTTCAGGATCAGTGCAAGATTCTACACAGTGGCGAATTAGTTTGTTTTCATTATCAAGCTTCAGCTGGGCCGCCAAGACGCGTCTAGAAACGGTGGGAAAGAAGTCTGTGATGTAACGATTCTCCTTGGTATCGACCGATTTGCTGGCAGCCTTGGCAGTTTTCCTCGTCGATGGCTTCTTTGCATTTTGGGAGGAGGCTTTTCTGGTGCCTGATTTGGTGCGGCAAGGCATTTTGGCGCGCGAGAGATAATGCTGATTAAGTGCGAGATTTTTGTTGTCGTCTAACGCAAAAACAGTTTGAGTCTGTGTTGTTTTCAACTGCCTTTTAACTGGCGCAGCCGCAGACGGCCCTGTCACTTCTTCGACCTCCGCAGACGACGTGGCATTCTTTGTACTTTTCGCCATTATTTTCTGAAATCTTCTCCAGAAAAGCAGCAGGTCAGAGGATCATCGATAAGGAGCGACAACTCTCCACCAGATTTGTGGCAGTTGAAGTGCTGGTGCAGCATAACCAGTCGGGGGTTGCACCAGCCAATGGGAGCAAGGTATTGTAATTCAAATTTCAATGGAGCACTTCAGAAATTACCTTTGTGCTTAACCCGGATCTTTATAACTTTTTGAAGTATTCTTGCCAAACCATCTTCGGCAGTATCCGATTTCCGGGTTAATTCACCAAAGCAAGCACCCAAAAAGGGCGTCAAAGTTGTACCGTGGACAGTACATTTAATTTTCTGTGAAGTTTCCGTAAACTTCTGGGAAACTATTCTTCTACAGGTGAAAGTACACTTTGACGCCATTTTTCTTAGTTTTACGCTTGGATTTGATCTTACACAAGGGTAATTTCAAAACACCTCTGGACTAGGAGATTCCAAAGATGTCACTAGATACAGTTGAAATTTTTTAGAAAGATTTGGAACACTTTTCTTTCCTGATAGTATCGATTGTACCTTTAAATTCACCATCGGTGGTTTCAGCAGCTGAAAAGCTGCCTTCAGCTGATTTGCCACTATCTTACGGGAAACAACAACACCGGTCCTGGTCTCCTCATCCTTTTCACTTCTTTCGCCATTCCAAAGTCATGACGCTCTATCACTTTATCAACTGCCTCCTCCTTACATTTGGACCGCCGGTGATACTCTACAAGTTTTCAGTATTGTAAGTCTTTATTACCGGCTTCTTGTGCCCTGTGTGAATAACCAACAATCTGTACATGCAGGTCCGAGTACGGTACCCTTTGGAGACCAGCTGTGGGGGCAGTGAGCTATGTGGTCACGCAGGTCAGCAAGATGCTGATAATTGCCGGCTTGATTAATCTATCGCCTCTTTGGAATGATGTTCTTGACGTCATTGGAATGTACACATTTCTGGTTCATCATCAAAAGGCGACCGTAGCTTCAGTCAAAATTCTAAGTAAGGAGGGTCATCAATGTATAGTTGCGAGTACAAACAAGCAACCTTGGCAAACACACCAAATACTAAAGTTGTTGTACCCTACTTGACTAATATTTGTTTTATTCGTCAGGCCTGGCTCTTGGCTGGAGCGTCACCGAGTCGATTTTCACGCGCTTGATCAACTTCTACATGAATGCGAGATCTCTGCAGTTCGATTGGCAGCACCTAATTACCGCATGTGAAGCGAATCTGGCCCTGGTAAGTTTCAAGTTTCTTTTTCTCCCCTCAGTTGATCAATATCTTTTTTTATTGCAGGTGCAAAACATTTGCCTTTGCGCGCTGTTGTGGGGCTACAGCCGAAAATCAAACAACCAATCGAAAATATACCTGGGTCTAGTCTTTGTGTACATTATTGCTATCTCCTTTGTTGAGACAAATATTTTCCTCAAGTCCGCCGCGCTGCTCGCCCTCGCCGGATCTACTGCAGTTTTGTATAACTAATGTATACACTTTTCGCCAGTTTATCAAGTCAAAACTCTATATTGTAATTACCACCGCGAGTAAATAAACTGAGTTTCATGGGGCTATCACTGAATGGTGTGTGTGTGTGTGTGTACAGGTAAAATCAATAAAAGTGAAAAATAAGTAGTAAGGGAGAGATCGTAGGAGTATTGCCAGCCAGCTAGTCAGTCAGTCTGTCAAACAGACAGTTATGGGTGCCTCAACCGCAGGAGAGGCACTTTCCGCTGTTGTTGAGAGGCGCATAGGTTCGAATTGCACAGAGTCCACAGTAGATTTGGTCGCACTTGAAGCAAACCAGCTCGCAGTCGCCGCAAGGTTGGCGCTCGCAAAAGGTGCACTTCTTTGCATTTGGGCTATCGATCTTTTGGCTGCAACTTGCACAGCTTTCCTGTCTGCCCAGCGGTGCGGTGTTGTCCCTTACGTTGATTGGGCCTGCAATGGCAACAGAAAGAGAGAGAAAGCACTCGATTAGCAAGACTGATGTTTTAGCGCACTGTATAATTGCGCGCGCCTCTGTCAGTTTCTGTTTGTGTGTGTGCAGAAGCCGTGTTTTCCTTCTACGAGGAAGTGAATGTACTCACCACTGCGAAAGAGACTCATAGGAAAGTGGGCAAAGACTCGCCGGATGCGCTTAAGCGGCAAATGGTCTTCACTGCCGTCCAGCTGTCTCTTCAGCGTCATTCTGGGCAAATCGGAGTATCGTAAACAAGTGGCACTGGCGTCGGCGCGGAATGCCACCGGTGAAAGTGAGAATGGCTTTGAAAAGAGGAGCAGTAGTAGAGGAGGATGAGCAGAGGATGAGATGAGGACGAGGAGGAGGAGGGGTAGCTGACGCTCTGCCGACTGTACTCTAACCGATCTTCCATGGACTGGCACTGTAGAGCGGGCAGAAGCAGTACAAGGCCAATGGAGAGGCCAGGCGAGGCGGGCGCACGGGCCGGCTCGGTGTACGGTTTGCAAATATACCGAGCAAATAGTCGAAGCTGCAGGGAAAGCTAACAAGCTCTTCACTGTGCTGCTGCTGCTGCTGCTGTCGTCGCTGTCGCTGTCTCCTGCGGCTGCTGCAGTTGTCGCGCTCACAAACAGCATCGAGCCATGCGCACGAAGAGGACACTGGGCGCTCTTTACTCTTCAACTGCATAAACAAGTCGCGAAAGAGAGGGAGAGCGAGAGAGGGAGAGAGCGAGAGACAGAGCAGCAGCGAGTGGTGGTGGTGGTGCCTCTGATCCGACAACGTATCCGATAGTAGTGTATCTATCTCTGTCTGACGCCGTCTGGCCTTCTCGCCTCTTCTCTTCACCTCACCTCACTGCAATCAGCTTGCCTTAACCTTCTGGCTCAATCGTCTGTCACAGGTCAACACACACATATTCACACACACTCCTTTTCTGAAGCAGTGTCACCCCCACTGGTTGGCCATTGAGCGATACCCTGGGCCTTGGCGACAGCAGACACCAAACAGCAGACTCAGATCGGAGCATCCAAGCAACCTGAAGCCTTCAGCAGGAGAAAGCAGTGGAAAGGAGCAGGAGCAGCACCGACGCCGTCGCCGCCGCTGCGACCACCGCCAGCTCCATCGCTGTGACTAGCACCACCACCACTACCACGACGACGACGACTACCATAATCACTTCGACAGTAGCTACTTCTTCTTACCCAGCTCACCCTGCGCTTCTCGAAGCACGTCGCATTTCCTTGCCCACACACCACAACCACACATACATATCCTCATGGTCATGCACTAGCGACACGGCAAGTCATTCTCCTGATTCCAAGATGAAGCGTCCTGTGCAAATACTACACAGTTGAAAATGTAAAATGCAAATCGGTCTGCCAGTGAAAGTAAGTTTCAGCCTTTGCGCTGTTGATTTCCTTGCCTGTAGATTGCAGCGTTAATATCACTCACATGTACGGCATATCACGTTCGCTTGATTAACTTGCCTATCAGCGAGACGATGCCTCCACTCCTCAAACGCATCCACTCCATTTGTGTGCATCTACCCAGTAATTTCGGTTGCTAGTGTCAACGTCTGAAGTGATCCCGCATTTCCCCTCTGACTGCCGCTCTCTTCGGCTAGCCAACATCGGTGGCACCGACCGCCGCCGCCGCCACTCACCCACTCTCCATTGTTTGCAGTGTTCCCTGCCTTTCTAAGCCTCTCCTGCCACTTACAATAGCAACAATTGCCTCTCTTGCCGACTGCCAATCAAAACACACCGTCAATTGCACGGCATCAGTTGTTACATTACCGTGGTGATTGTTTACATCTCCAGGGGTTGTGAAAGTGAAAGTGACAAGATTTATGAATTGCGTAAAATGTCGGTTTATCGTCGGTTCGCTAGTTGTGTAGTCAATGTGATGACAGTGTTAAATTTAATACGCTAGCTTTGCAACAAGTTAACGTTGCCTAGCTGGGTTACTTTCACAAATTGTCACATTAGTATCAGGGTAATTAACGTGTCTGCTCCGGTTGCTCTCGTTACAGATTTTCAGCTCACAGTGATGGCATGAGCGAGTTAGGAGTTCACCTCTACCGCCATCATGAAGCTACTTGAAACTGCATTTTTCTTCCTTTTTCTAATCAAGTACACGTATCAATCATGCGGCATTCTCACAGATTACGGCAGTAAGTCTCTTGGCAAGCCCTTATCTATTCATTTATTTCATCCTTCTTAACCTTCAACCATCACACAGACATAAAGCCCGAAGCTCTAGACGTCGAAGTAAATTCCGACATTGTTTTCACCTGTTCACTCAACAGCAAATATCATTACAATTCTTCAAGTATATTTTTCACACTCCACAACACGGACATTTCAAAGTGGAGTAAAATAAAAATTATCGACAACCTTACTGCTCAGCTGACTGTTCCACAAGCTCAAGCAAATCATTCTGGACGATACTACTGCAAAGTCCGAAATGAAACGAACAATTCAAATCTCATGGTGTGCGTCAGTGAGGCCAGAGTTGGACGTAAGTACTGAATGCTAAATTAATTCAATTGTTATTTCTTTTCAACAACACAACAACTACTTTATCATTGCAGACAAGCCCCAGGATATGCTCGTTAAAGATTTGTCATGTAGGTACCTCTACAGACAAGAGCTCAAGTGTCAGTGGACAATGCCAAGGAACAACATTCAAACTGATGTCGACTTTTATACATATAATGAACCCATTTTCGGGTAAATACAATAAATAGGAGTTCACATTTTGTTCTTTACAATTATTGACCTCCCTCAAACAGGTTTGAAAAGCATTGTCCACTGCGAGATGAGCATGTGGATGAAGATAACGGCAAGACAATTCAGTCCTGCACTTGGAACAAGCGGACAACTGAGCGAGCCTTCTACAGCCAAAAGTACCACTTTGAGCTAAGCATGACCAATGCTCTGGGGGCTCAGCAACAGTTCTTTAGCTTCAACCTGAGCTCTATCGTTCAGCTGGACGCGCCTCCCAACTTTACTTTCAACGGCGAGCTCAGCACCTTGGCCTGGGACTATCCCAATCTCCTCGACAAAGATATATCCTTATTCCCCCTGTTAACGTTCAAAGTGCTGGTCACTGAAATGTGCGACCATTCTGACGCCTGCCTAGACAATAAGCCTAAGGTGTACATGTTGGAGAACACCAGGAAAAGCCTGAAACTTGACCTGAAGCCTTATACGCTGTACAATTTCAGCATCTCATGCAAAGTGGACGACGATTCAAATGAGTACTGGAGCAGATTTTCTCATTTGAACAATATTCGAACCAAAGGAGCTGGTACGTGTTTATAAAGCACTATTTTCTTCAAACCTAAATGATGATAACTGTACTGCTTTCTTTTTTCAGCTCCCCAGTCACCGCCCCGACTAATTAGTCAGGCCTTTGAAACCTCAAGTACAAAATCTCGAAGTGCCACCATTTACTGGCAACCACTACCCAGTTACTTGAAGAATAGTCCCAGTGTAACATATCTGGTCAGCCAATTGGACAGCAAACACCAAGTACAAAGCAACCGAACAACTCCTTATACGAACCTCACCTTTGACTCTCTCGACTCAACCTTATACGAATTTCGAATTTATTCACATAATTCGTTTGGAGTTTCCCGCGAGTACTCCAGCATTATCTTGCCTCAGTCTAGTGACATTTTGCAGCCGCCTAACAAAATTGCCGTTATTGCTCTAAGCAGCTCCGATTACGAAATGGAATGGGAAAAGTCTGATTCCAAACTACTGCAAAATTATACCGTATTCTGGTGTGTCGCCAAGAATGACCACTGTGTGGAGGGCATTCACTGGAAGTTTCTTCAAAGCAACAATTTCACCTTGAGTTTGCCTCCAAACAACTACAAGTTCGGTGTTTCCCTAAATACTCAGCACTCCACATCGGGCATATACTGGACACATTGCGTTGTCAATCCAAAGACGAAAATTGACAAGCTGCGAACAGTGCATCCCTTCACTCATGGTGCCAATAGCATTCTAATCAAGTGGGATTTTCTTTGTGATGCTCAAAAGAGACTAGTTCCTGACATGCGAATTGAGTTCTGTCCAAAGGATGACTGTACGCCGGATAATACTCGCATCTTGAAGGTGGAAGATTTGAGCACTAACCAGTTCATGGTGAATGACCTTTCGCCCAACGTCACATACTCATTTCTCATCTCTTCTGCTAATATTGCCGAGGCAAGTCACATTGTCGGCACGACGGATAACGGCGTTCCACCACCTCCATTTAATGTGAGAATACTCGAGCGAACCAATAACAGGTCCATCATCGAGTGGAACTTCGTTCCCAATGTGGTGGACCACTTTCGCGTGAAGGCGCCCTTTTTGCTTCAAGACGTTATCGAGCCTGAAGAGGGCTGCAAAACGACTGAACAGTGCAACACTATGCTGGAATTCTCAAAGCCTCTTGCTCCATTTGTCAATTATTCCATTGCCGTCTCTGCTTGCAACACAAAAGACGATTGCTCAAACTCTAGCCAGGTCTATTTCCAGACGGCCCCTTCACGGCCTGGCAAAATGCTCGTTCCAAACATGGAAAAGATTAACTCAACACACTATCGTGTCTACCTACGCAAACCACTGGAACCGAATGGTCCGATTGACTTTTACTACATTCTCACTAAAAACAAAGACCTGAAACGGTACAACGCGAGTGAGCCCTTTGTTGACCTGCCTCTCGAGTGCGACAAAGCAGAGCAGGTGTTCAACTTCAAAATTGTCGCATCCAACTTGGTGAACGGGGAAGAGCTGAAGGGTGAGCCCGCTGACACCCGCATTGAGTTCTGCAAACAATATACAGGCGGGCTGCTTGCCTTGTTCGTTATCGTCGGCATCCTGCTATTTATTCTCATGATCATTATCATCTACTACGTGGCCAAGTCTATGAACAATTTAAAGCTAAAGAAAAAGGGCTTTCAACTCAATATACAGTGCAATCAGCGGGAGACAGACTTGGACTTTGAACGGGGCGAAAAGGACAGCTTGGTACAGCCTGAAGAGAGCGAACTTAACAACGTGATCATCACGGAGAGACGGAAAATCAGTTCCAGTGTCACAAATGCCAGCATGACTTCGGACTCCTCAATTGCCGAAAATAGTCATTCGAGCGATAAAATACCGTCATCCTCATCGGACAACTGCTACAATTCAGACTCTACGGCCAACTACAGTGACGTCAACTATCGTGAAAATCACGAGTACTTTTTAAATCCAATGGACGAAAGTTACCGGCCACTGATGGCGGTTTCATCTGAAGTGGATGCGGACACTGCAGCAGCCGCCGAGCCTGCTTTGTCCAGCAGCGCCTGTCCGCCCTTGGACATGGACAAGGCCAGTGAGCTGAACAAATCTCCGACGTCGTATGTACCGGCGGAAAATGTGGTCCTTGTGCCTCTGTCGCCTATGCCGGCGCCGGCAAGTCCTCCCGCTAGCCTCACCTCTACTCATTCTCATTCTCAATACATTTCGCACGATCAGATCGCTGCACTGAAGCAATCTCCAACCGCAAGCAAGTTTCCAAATCTGAGGAGTTCAACAAACTGTTGAGTTGATTCCTAGTGTACAGCATTGCTTGACCTGCCTCATCTCATACTCCCCTATTCCTCTTCTCCCCTTCCTCTTCTCCCCTTTCCTCCTCCTTCTCTTCCTCTCCTTCTCAACCCTCGAAACTTCTTTCTGAAATCTCTAATTTTTCTATTGTACTTATTTGTTTTTAGTTGTTTGACCGTGTACATACATGTATCTTCACTCTTTGGCATCCTTTTCCTCTCTTTGAACAAGCATAATTTAATTTTTTCATTATTTATTTTTCTTATTTTTGGTTAAATGTTCAAAATTTATAAAACATTGTTTTCAACACACAAACAAAACGGGTTCTCCTGATTAACTCACTGGTGCGTAGCCTGAAAGAATATGCACAAAAGAGTGACCAGTTTTAATTAGTTAAAAATTTGAAGATTAAAAAAGCAAAATGATCCAAATAGAAACGTAAGCAGCATTAAATGTGGTATGTCTATATCACAGTTCATGTCCAGTGGAATGTGTCGGCGGGGGTGAGAATGTTTGGGTGGCTTGAGTATTGCAACAGTTGGCTGGAAAATACGTAAGAAGGTAGTGCAGTGGGTGGTGGTGGTGGAGGTGCATGGACGCACAATCTCTTGGGCAATCTCATGTGGACTAGGGTGGCAATGCGGAAACGGTGCCAACGGAATTATGCTTCGCTAAAATGCTGGACATGCAATGTTCACAACTGTACAGCAGCAGACAGACTAGATAGTGCCTCTTTTGAGGGAGAAGGACACAGCTAGTAAGTCTTGCTTGAAAGTTCGTCAGTTTTCTCGGAGCTCTCCAAACTCATTGTGTTTCCAAAATCAAGGTGCTTCAGCACTAAATTGCGAGCATGGCGTGCGTGTACTTTCAGGTCCTTTGGATACGGCGTTGGCTGTCGAAGTAACTTTGCCGTCTCCGCATCAGTGGACTGATCATCACAATTGAGGTTAAAGTTGATCAAAGGTTTATCTATGCTGGAAATGAGAAACGAAGATTTGCGCCTGTTGACAGGCTGAGGCTCCAAAGAGTCCATCGCAGGCTCTTCTTTGGTCTATTACAAAAAAATAATTATATAAAACGGCTGATGATATCGGTAAAAAATGTACCTGAGGAAGAAGAACGCAGGTGAGTACTTTCTGATATGGACTCCGAAGTTCGGAGTTTAACTGCAAAATTGGCCTATTTTGATTATCAGACAGCCAGAGTGATTTATACTCGATTTGAGTCAGCGAAAATGGAAGATACGAAAGGATATTGTTGGAAAAGTTCATCACTTTCAGTGAGGTCAATCGCCCTAAATCTTCGGGAAGTTGTCTGATATTGTTGTCTGCCAGTGAGAGAATACGCAGCGAGACACATGAGCAAATGGAATGAGGCAGTTCCTTAAGCAAGTTATGGTCAGCAATCAGAGTATTTAGGTTTCGAAGAAGTCCAATCGAGCTGGGCAACTCATTGAGCGTGTTGTCGTTGATGATCATCTCCTCAAGTGCAGACAATCTGGTGAAAGTGAAAAGGAGATTAAATGAGTCTTGACCATTTTGCAAAAAAAACTAGCACCAACATTACCTGCCGATAGATGATGGAAGCGTTTTAAGTTCATTTTCATCAACTCGTAAAACTACGAGCTTGTTTAGATTGCCCAATGTTTCAGGCAATTCCTGAAGTGAGAGGATGTCAGTACACTACCGAAATATCCTGTTGCAATCTATACCTTGATATAGTTTGAAGATAGTGTGAGGTCTGTGAGGTTGGTGCAGTGTCCGATTTCACTCGAAACATCTTCGATTCGGTTGTAACTTGCGTCAAAGTATGTCAAGTGCGTCAAGTTGCCGATAACCTGCAATTGAATTGAAAATGTTAAGAGATTGAAAAATTTATATAATTACAAAACTCACTTCACTGATTGACACTAGTTTGTTGAAATCACACCAAAGCTCAGTCAAGGAATGCAAAGATCCAATCACTTCCGGAAATATGGTGATGTCTAGTTGAAAAAGAACCACTTAGTATCTGTTTTGTGCACCAAAAAAGTTCACCATTTTGGCCAATGTCTAATCTGGTTAGCTCCACCAGTCTGGCCATAGATTTGGGCAATGTTTTGAGGTGATTTTCTGAGTGAAAAGTTATCAACAGTTAGGGGCGGCAAGCAACAAGATTGTGCAACACTACCTCGCAGCTCGACGATTCGTAGGCGCGCCAATCTAAAATGCAAAAATGCAAAAATGTAGATGTTGGCTGGTAGAGGTAGTGAGCTCTCAGACTGAAAAGCTCCACTTAGAGACAGAACAAGAACATTTCATCTTACCTTCCAAAGTTTGCTGGGAGGTACTCGATGAAGCAATCATTGGCGAGAAACTGCTCCAAGTTGATGAGTAGTGTAAAAGCGTCCGGTAAGCGTGGTCCGATTGGGTTGACCGAAGCATCGATCGTCTTGAGACACTTGCACACCTTGATGCTGTCGGGTATCTGCAGAATGTGGTTCTTGGACATGAAAAGCTCCTCTAGCTTGATGAGTGATGATATTGCCGAGGGAATTGATTGCAGCTCGTTATCACTTAGGTTAAGCACACGCAGTTCTTCACAGTGGAAAAGCGCCCTAGGTAGGCTCTGTATCTGGTTGGAGTCCAGGGAGAGGACGCTGAGGGTTCGCTCGTGCGAGAAGATGGAGGCCGGCACCTCGTCCAGTGAGGAGTGGCTGAAGTCGAGCTCCTTCACCTCCTCCGCCTGGGCCACGCGTATGCAAAAACACGCGTGGCAATCCTTGAGCAAGCCCATGAGGTCGAGGGACTGAGCGGGCCACTGAGTGCTTGCCCGGTACTGACACAAGTGCTCCCCAGTAAGTGGAACACCAACGACGGGCAGACTTGCCTTACCGCTTTCTCTCTACTCTCCACTGCAGGCGTATGTAGAGACGGGCTTGCCCACCACCACCACCACCACCACCACCACTACTACTACTACTACTGAACTGAGTACCTCTTTTGCTCTTGCTCTTCCTCTCAAGTTTATTTACAAACAAGACTCAGCTTGCCATCTGTCAGTATGGCTGCTGCTGAAGTTTCTCCAACGCCAGTTGCTCTCTTGAACTTGAGGTGTCAGTGCACAGTGGATAGATGTCCTCCAGAGGATGACATCCAAGATGACCGCTGCTATCACCTCGTCGACTGGCAAATGGGCTAATGACTGAAAAACTATCTTTAGATTGACTGGCACGATCTCCCAGTAGCTACTACTGTCTGCAATAACAAACAGCGCCCATATGAATGAGCAAAAGTGACCTTCACTTGAAGCGTCACCAACAGCAGCAACACCTCAGATGCTATTCTCTACTCCACCACCACCACCGATGCAGTAGATGTCGATTTTTATTGTTGCATCAACTGCTGCCTGACTATAAATACAGAAGAGCGAATAATTGAACCTGAGCCAGAGGGGAACCGAATAGACAGAGCAGTAGGAAGTAGTGGCAGGGAATGAACACTTTTGGTGGTGACCTTTCTCTCTGACCAGGTCATCAGCATATTGCGCACAGGTGCATGCAAAGGACGCACTACGTCTACGACTACCAGAGGACTGCCAAAGTGTCTCCCTATCTCCCACAGTGATCTCTCCCTCTCGTGACACTTTGGTCTCTGCTGCCGCTGCTTCAGTGGCTGATCAGGCGACGATTGGAGGAGAGACAGATAGGCGCCAACGAGCCAGATACTGGTGCACGGTGCACACTCGCTGAACACATTGCACAGTTGCAGTGCACTTTCCAGCAGAGAACGATGGCTCCCAGATTGGTGCAGAGGCACAGAGACTGCTGCTGAAAGTCAGTTCGTTTGACGTTAGCCAGCTAGCTTGCACTTCTGAAGGCGTCACCCGTCGCTAGTGGACGAGAAGGAGAACTAGCTGGCTGACTGCAGCTCCTGCAGCTGAACATGAGTTCTACGAGAGAGAAGAGAGTACTACTGTTGGCACACTACGCAACTACTTGCGGGCACTGCGCAGCTGACTGATACAAAAAGGCAGAGGACGACGGATGGCGAAAAGTATGTGGTAGTGTAGTGGTGGGAGCAGCAAACCGTTGCCAGGCACAGCGAGAGATCACATCCATCGCCGTTATAAGGGAACACAGGCAGACAATCTCCCTCAGCCACTGCTCCACTTTTACGCTGACTGCTACTTCTTCTCCTGCTGCTGCTGCAGTTGCTGCTGTTGTTGTTGTGGTTCGTTCTGTCAAAGCTGTCCACTGTGACCGTTTGAAATAAAAGCTCGGGTCCCCTCCTCGCCAACCAATTCTCA